AAGAAGAATTTCATATTAGTCTCATTAAGGGACACAGGAATGATTTGTTGAGGTGGGTCCTCAACCAACAGGCCACAGCAGCCTGCTGATGTGTTTTTAACACCCTGCATACATTTTTTGTGGTCTTATGTCACTGTGTGATGATATTAAAAAAGAAGCTTTGTTACTGTCATCAGTATTTGTTAGTAAATATTACTGTGAGCAAGTGTACAGTATATAGAAGAATGTCGGACAAAGAAATGGGGCATGTTGTTGATGAACACTTGGAAGGATGTGTGTAAATCATAAAAACAAATTATACCTGAATTTGAAACATTACTTAGCATTAGCATCTCAGTAATGACTGTTTTTGTAAAAAAATGTATTGAGTATCACAGAAATCCATTTGCAGCCTTCTTTATTACGCCGTCTTCTTTACAGGAGGTTGGCGACATATTATGAACAGGATCCTTCCATCCTTTTCTCGGACTGGGACCTGTTCATATACGTTTTTTAGGCAGGTGATACAGAAGTGGTTTGCCATTGCCATATGCAGTAGTAGGTCTAATTTAAAAACAATTTTAGTAAATTGCCTGGTCTTGTCTGGAAAAGTTGAAAAGCCCTGCATTAAGAGTCAAAGTTAACGAATAATAAAGATATTTGACATTGGTGTTGGGCTTTATAGGCTTCTAAGATCAGACCTTATGGTTTTACAAACATAATTGCTATCCACTATATTGATGTTACCATATTTGATATGAATCCTCTTTTTCTCTTTCTTTCTTTCTTTCTTTCTTTCTTTCTGTGGTGCAAGGTAGATGTTCTCTGGGCCAAGATTTTAGCTCGCAGATAATTAGGCAACGCTTATAAAGTTATGTTTGTTGAGAAAATTTGAAGTAAAGTGAATAATTAAATTAATAAAATATAAGTAGAAGAAAGAAGACAGAAATCAGACAGGAGAATGAAAGGTAAGGGGTTGTTTGTTTAAGTTTTACTATCTGATGGCAACAGAAAATGCTACTCTCTCCGCAGTCCTCTGTAAAGAAACTAGCATTAATATTGTACGTCATTACGTAACCGAGTTCAATAATTTTATAATTGTACTTTTCATTTTATTTGATTAATTTTTATCCTTTCAGGTACGTTGTTTTGGGAGAATTGTTTGTGTCTGAGTTATGCCTTTCGAGTGGTAGGTCAGCCATTTAGTTAGTACACTGCTGTCATTCTCTTGTCCTTAAGCACCAACATCAGTCAGTGTTAAACAGCAATTTTCATTTGCAGCTGTGAGCAAAATAATAGAATGATGGGCTTTGTAATTGACCGTCCCCAAATATAATAGCTGATGGCCATCGCGCTTGACTTGAAGAATTGAAATTAAGTTCTGAGGTTGTGGTTGGAGTGTTTGATGGGCCCTTATCATAGAAGAGACTTGGATTTTGCCAAAAAATATGTAATTGTAGGCTAGTAATGGAAATAAGGACTGGAATGTGCCTTTGGGATTTTTGTGAAAACATTTGGTAGTTTTGGGAAAGCAGTTGAAGCTGCAGTTGACTTTTGTGAAGCGTAAATGAAGCTGGTAGTTTTGGGAAAGCAGTTGAAGCTACAGTTGACTTTTGTGAAGTGTAAATGAAGTATATGTGTGCTCTGCAGTGTTAATAAGAAGGATTGTACACAAATTGGTTGACTTAGGAAGAAGAATTGTTAGGTGAGAATCACAATCTTAACAAAGGACCATTTCAACAAGCAGCCACTGGACATCTAGCCACAGAAGCCTTGTGAATTCAAAATAAACTGCAGAAATATTTAATATATCCTGTAGAGTCTGTCGAGAGCCAAAATACAAAGTGTCTTACAGAGTGTAATTGCTAAATCACATTTCCTTGGGTATTGAGGTCCATATGGCAGCAATAGCATCTCTGTTTCTACAGTTTTTCTCAAGTGAATCATAATTTCAGTATGGTCTGTTACAAGTGTCACTAATTTTTCAAGATCCACCTTAAACAGGCAAACATAAGTTTGATTGTCCCTGGACGCATAGGAGTTGATCAGCAAAATAGAATGTGCTGCATGTGTGACTAGACTCTGAGTCTGCTAATTCCATGGAGTCAGTTCTGACTGTTGCACTGCCGCCAGGGCTCTTTGAAGGGCCGTAACAACATCAGGGGTTGTGCAATGGATTAGCAGTGGTCTGAGTATTTAATATCACAACCATTGAAGTACTGCCGGTTTGTTAACAGGTTCGCACCATCAAGACTTTTTTTTTCGTTTTGGCATTTTGTTGTAGGGACTGGCAAGATGTATTGATATATGACTCGATATTTTGATACTGATTTATCGTTTATATCATTTTATATTTTCTGTGCCTGTAACAAAGGGCTCGGATAATTAGCAAAAAATTAACAAGACGTTTAACAGCTATTATTTAATTTTCATTGATGTATCGACATGACTGTAAAGGGCGATGAACTAGGAACACGGTTACCAAAACGTAATCACATCGCTTGAAAGTTCGTTCCCACCAAACTGTCATAGAGTGTAAAATGGGTAGCTAGCGAGCGAATCGCTGGTGGTGGTGTAAGGCTAAAGTTCTGTTGTGTGAGAGGGAAGTCAGCGCAGGCGCACCCCGTTAGTAGCAACAGGAAGTGTAATTCCGTAAGATTTGTAGGCTGTGTTGTTTGGAGGCGCATTCTCAGTAGCAATGTTAACATTTTACGATCTTGAAGAGCCATTTGAACGGAAATTATGATTTCAAAAGAGGTCGTGTACTTTTATCGTCTTATATGCTTTTATGCAACACAAGGCTGCTTGTTTCTGTCCTGCGCGACACGTCGTCGGTTTACGGAGGCGATGCTGGGTGTAATGGCGGCGGTTACTTTTGAATCTAATGAGGAGAACGAAATGGACGGAAGAATATTTTAACTTAAGCTACAGACGAATTGTGTTAAAAGGCGTATCTTTTGCAGCTTTTACTGTTCACGATTCATCAACAGAAAAAAAAATACATAAAGCTTCACAGTTTGTACTCGCCGGAACATTCCAATTGAACCCCCCCGAGGAGGAGAAGATTGCCAGATTACGTTACTGAGGCCACTATCATCCCAGGCCGGGAGGTGGTACGGCTTGGGGAGGGTAAAGCGGTGAAAAGTAATAAAAGAAAACCAAATGAATCTACTTCGAATAATCGAAGTATATTATTTAATAAGAAATATTTAAATATAAGATAAAAGGAACAAGACACCTTTCAGGGCTCAAACTCCGGCCGGGTATCCGACTCCAGATACCCAACTCAACCCCCACAAACCCTGACTTGCCTTCCGACTTTCTCCTCGAGTCGTGCTCTCTCCGGCGGACACACACAGACTGCCCTAACTGCCCTGCTATCTCATCAGGGTCTCGAAGCCGCAGACTCCAAAGAACTTAGATATGGGAGATAAGCCACTTCGAGCCATGAGGCATGGCTCACAATACAGAACCGAAAGGTTCTTTTTCGACAATATCATAGCCTGCCATTGAAGGTATTCAATAGCAGAATAAGAGCCAGTTAATCCTCCCATCTTGCAACCAGTATTATATGATCCTTTTTAATATTATCAACAAATCTCCTCGGCCTTCAAAATGGGCGTTGTTTTCGAAAATGTTCCCTAGCAAGATTACGTACGCCATCCTTCTCTAACCGATCCTAGCTGCATTCCCAGCCTACCATATCTGCCTAGATTTTAGTATCTTAACACTAGACGACTAGACCCTTTTTACAGAAATTTCTTCGAGGAATTATATACAAATTTATATGCGTTGTGGTTTAATTGCCCTAGGTTATGAGTAAAAATTGTAAAAGTCCTAATTATATAATTTTATCGTGTCCTAATATTTATAAATACGTGATTTGTAAATAACATGCACTGCAGTAATCATGAAGAAGGGAGAAACGAAATAAAGTTTAAAACAGCCCTCGGGTGATTTTTGTGTACCGCAGAACTATAGTAAGGCGTTTCTTATTCGATAATATGAAATACGTTGCAGCGTATGAATACATTTTACCTATATAAGAGTTAGAGCGAGTGTCTAATTTTTCGAAGCAGTGTGTGCTGTCCTTTCTTTAAATCTCAGTATCTCCCATTGTAATCACTGACAAGTCAAAAGCCCGTCTCTCTTGCAACCAGAATCTATTCCAGATAGAAGCTGGAACACGTCTCTAGATCGACGCCTTGCTCTTTGCAGTCGATAAAGAGCTGAGGGATAAATGGGGGTGAGAATTTCCTCTGGGGTGACATTGGTACTATGAACAGACGCTTCTTCTCTGACACTAGGGAAAGGGGTTGGAGAAGATGAAATGGGGCCCTCCAGTATCAATAGAAATGGATACTTAACAGGGGTTCTTTACGACAGACAGAAACTATGTGCTGTGACATATTGAAGAGGTATGATTTCAAGGAAATGTAAAAGAAGAAAATGGATTTCGACAGAAAGATGCACGTAGAAGTGGAACAAATGAAAGCGAACTCTTGTTAGTTCTATAGGTTCAGAACGTCACCGAGTTTGCTGGTGGAGGACTGATGTGTCAGTTTCTCGTACAGAAATATCTGCTTGAATTTGCAATGCAATTTTTAATGATGTCATTCTTTATGGAACACTAAATATTCAGTTTTAGAAGTAATGTCAGTCCAGAGTTCGCCGAAATTCAGATTGGTGTTAGATGAATTCGGTATTATATGTGGACCAGTAAATTGACTTGTTTCGGGCTACACGGCTTGGATTCCGTTCCCGACACGTGTACGTGTCCTTTTCG